GGGAAGTGTGTGTGGAGGAGCAGACTGAGCTCGCACGCTTTGGCACCAGATGTGCTCTTGCTGCTCCCCAAAACCTCCAGGGAGGGTTGGTTTTTGTTTTTGAAAAATCTCCCTATCTAGCTCAGCACCAGCCTGTGCAGTTACAGCATTTGCACTTGAAGCATGGATCTGCACAGATCCAGGCCCAGGTGGTTGCTTCTTCCCCATCACTGGTCCAGGTGCTCCAGTGGCTTTGTCTCATGGGGACCAAATCCTTGTTGGACATTCAGTGCTCTCTCAGATGAACACTTCTTCCCATTCTGGGAGAGTTTTCCCCCTGTATGCAATCTCCAGCTGTGTGCCTTGCTTCTCCCCATCTGTGTTTCATAACTGCATTCCCAGCCGCCGGATCCCTGCAGATTGGGCTGGTTTCATCCTGTTTTCTCTATTGTTCCTGCATCTTCTGCTCGTATTTCTGCTCGGGGTCAGTGGCAGAGGGATGCAATCCTCCTCCTCCTCCTCCTCCTCGTCTTCCTTCTTCTCCTCTCTGCCTGCTGTCAGTTCCTGCCAGGCAGTTTTGTTGGAGCAGAAGGGATGACTCCCTGTGAAATCTGGGACTCAGCAGCCAACTTACTGCATCTCTCTCTGCAGCATTAAGGTGCATTTTTACCCATTCCTCAGCTTTTAATGCCTATGGCATTTTTTAGGGGGCTTATCCATAAGGATATATTTTTCCATCCTATTTTTATATCTCACCCACTGCAGCGTGGCAGGATTAAAACCCCCCAGGAGCTCAGGATGGAACAGCCAGGGGTTTGAGATACCCCCCCAGAATAATTTTGGAGAAGTGAAATTACAGGCCAGGGGGTTTCCCATCTGAAATCACACTCAGGGCTGACTGGAGGAAAGTATTCCTACAGCTGTCCAAGCCCTGCAGCCGCAACACTTTCCTTATTAGAAGTCCCTGGCCACCTCTTTAGTCCTGATGACTTCTCATTTGAGCTTTCCCAACACTTCACTAAATGCAATGTCTGCTAATGACAGACAATATTAGTTTTTTTAATTGAATATGTCTTTATTTCAGGAGCAATAATGAGCTGTTCCAGCTAGCAGATGCCCACGGAGCACTCCACTATGCTGTGGAAAAGATTGCTCGTGGTTCTGCCTCTGGGGAGGGGAGACTGGAGAGGGAGGGAATGGAACCAGCCATTTGATGTGGCCTCAAATCCCTGCTGCCACCAGCTGGATGTCCCACTGGAATTGTTGAAATAGGTTCATCTCACTCATCTCCATCCCTCCATTTGCTCCAGGAGTGGATGTTGTTTGTTTGATCTTAAAATTGAGGATAGAGCTGAGTTTGAGGAACCCAACATCACCCAAGCAGCATGATGGAGAGTTTGCTGGGAAACCTCCAGACAGGGAGCTCTCATTCCCTGTCCTTGCTGGAGTAGGAGTGGAGATTTCCTCAGGTCTTAATCCCCATTGCTCAGGGAAAGGTGCCACATCCAGCCTAGGAATTGCTGGCAGCCAAAGTGGTTGGAAACCGAGGGGAGTTGTGGCAGCTTGTGATTTACTGTCCTGCTTTTTCTGGTCTTAATGGTGTGGGTGATATTTGCTTGGAAGATTAGGGAGGTCAGAAGAGGAATAGTTTGATTTGAGATGGAGATGTTGCATTCCCAGTGACAGAAGAAAACTGGATGTTGCTTAAACACTCCATTTCATGTGGCCATTCTGGTTTCTGGAAGGAAGAACTAATGCATAAATGTATTACATCTGGAAAGGAGGGAAATTAAATGTTGGAGGTGCTACAGTAATCCTGATTTTTTTTTGCCTGCCCTCACGTTTGTCCCTGGTTTGTTTGCAGGCTCAGGCATCAGGCACACAAAGAGCTTTACGCCTACAAACAGGTGAGATGATCCTCAATAAGTTTTCTTCTCTTTCCTTTCTGCTTGGTGCCAAATCCACGTTGGAGTAGCCACTCCATCAGGTTTCCTTGTGCTGTTCTCTCCGTGAGAGATTTCTGGCCCTCCAAGAGCAGTTGTGACCCCCAGGCCATCCTCTGTTCCTGCT